CACCGGCAACCACACCACTTTCAATTCCGCACTCACTAGAAAAAAACAAAAGTGCACTTCTATGCAATGGTGAGAAAGCAGTTGACAAAACGCTTACTCATTTCCACGAATAATTTTGAAGAAACCGTTATCTCCCCAATCATTATTCCATGAATTGGCGATCAACCAGTAGGGCTGGCTGTTCTCAACTCCCCAACCGAGAATTTTCACGGCATGTCCTCCCAAAACTTGGCCAGTGGTGTGTTTGTAAACGCCAGACTGGTATGCCAAGAAATCAGCACTAGAAAAACAGCCAGATGGATAGACGTAGACATTCGAAATAGAGTAGAGTCAGTATCTTACTAGACAGTGAATGCGGTTTCAACTGGACCATTGGTCATGATTTCTGTTTGTATTTGTTTAACATCCGATTTAACAGAGTAGACAGTTTTACCAAAGTGTTTATCTTTCGCCCATGGAATCGTGTAACCATCGATGCATTTCTTAACACATTTCGGTGTTGGTTGTTCTCCTCCACAAGGTGGGAGTGTTTTGTTGACACTAGACAAAAATTGCAAGTCTACAGACACGAGCGAAGAAGAAAAGCTAGATCAACATACTGGTGATCACATGAGGCAATTGTATATGGTTCACAGCCCTCTTTTGAATTGTAGTTGCCACCGGTAACGAGACCAGTCTTCTTGTAGTATTCCCTAAAGATAGATACAAAAAATTTGACACTAATGCTCTTCACACGCCCAACTATCGAAGCTCACCAAGCAGCTTGAGGAAAGCCACCATCGCATCCAAAGCCACATGACGAACAACAATCGACTAAATCTTCGGCTGAAATATGAGCATTGACAGCGCCCTTTGACACTATGCAAACTCGATCAGACATTGCCTCTGAAAGACAAAAGTTCACTTTCGCAACAGAAACACAACTATGCACGTAGCGACTCACCTACTGCTCCAAAAGCCCAACACGAACCACAGCTGCCTTGATCTCGCACTTCTTTTATTGTTGGACAGTTTGGCCAGTTTTCACCTAAGAATGACACACTCATTTCATTAATACATTTCACGAAACTACGCTTAACTCACGGGCATCGAAGCTTGCTGGTATATCGTTCGGCACATCATGAACTATCGGCTTGATTTCTTTCAGTTTATCTAAATATCCATCTTTAACTCCCATTAAACGTTTGATCGATTTTAACGGCCAACTTTCAAATTTTGTTGGGCCAGCTATCCATGATGACTGAACGCTGTTTATGTGATCAATGAGGCTAGATGTTATCAATGGACGATCATGTTCTGGTCGTTCAATGCTAATACCGTGAGTCAAACACACAACTAATAAACAAGCAATAATGCGCAACATGTTTTGTTCGTGGTGTAGATTTCACTGTCAAGTATCTTAAAATTAAACATACACTTATATACTCAGTCAAGTAGCATAACGAAAGCGAAATTTCGAGAGTTGGACAACAATAGAGATTAGTGAAGATGACACTGATGTTTTTGCTTCTCAAACAATGACAAGTAGAAAACAGAAAAAGCATTTATTCTAATTCTTATAACGCAAAAAGTTTGAAGTGTGTAATGCGTTATCTTATCATTTGAAGAAACACAAAAAGTCATCCTTGGAAGAAAGTATTTTGATACCTCAGTTTCCGTCCGTAGAAATAACAGTAACAATTAACATTATAGGAGAAATTTCGAGATGGAAAGTTATGGAAAGAAGAGATACATTGTTGGTCATATTTCTCTCAAAACGTGATAGTTGGAATTCATAAGAACGTTTCAAGTTCAAAGGTCATTGTTTTTGAAACCTACAAAAGGTCTGCTAACTTAAGCGCCTTTCAACGATCGACCTTTGGAGTTGCGGGGCGAAATGAACTTCTAATCTTTCTCTGTTCGACTTTTCTGACTATGAGTCTTTCAAAATACTAAAAATATTCGCATCTTGTTTAGTTTGCGAGTTGCGTATTTTTAGAAGAAACGATACTTTCAGTTCAGTTGATGAAACGATCATGAAATTCTAGTTGATTCAAATAGGTTTTGGATGATAATAGACAAACCATCCCATACATGATCGTCTGCATGCAACCTAAGCAGACTTTATATTTTCTATGGATTGAATTAGCAGAAATGAAACTTGGCTTTTTTTTGCAATGTTTGTCTATAAAAATGCTAAAAAAATGTGAAAAGAAAATGGGGAAAAAAAATCAGAAGATGGAAATCAATATTCGCATTATATATTTAAAAAATTTTTTCTTTGACGAGTGTTTTGTACATGAATATAATAGTGCAGAACAGAAAGATAAAGTTAGTAAAAAAACATGTACACACACAGATACATATGTACAGTGAAGAAAAACGAAACAAAAAATATATATCTGTATCATACGTAAAACACATCCGAATAAAAAAACATTGTTTAAATGAATCTGGCAATGGAAAATTTTGTTTTGCTGTTCTACAAATAACCTTAATTTGTCAATTTATGAAAGAGCGATCGGATGACGAAGTTTTAATAAGTAAGGTGTGTGTGTGTGTGTGTGTATGTGCAGTCTTTTATGGGCCAGAAATCAGAAAAAAACGTTCTAGAACTGTAAGTAAATTTTATTGACGGTATGTTCCATCAATTAATTAACTCTTGGCAGTTTAAGCCATTTCTATTATAGAATAATTAACTCTGATAAACACATGGAAATACAATGTTTAAAACAATGATTTTCTTATTATTCTTTTGAGAAACACAAGCACAATATTCTTAAGAATCTCTTTCAGTTTCTCACAAAATTAGTGTACATTTAGTATATAATGAGACAAACCGATAAATTAAACGAGACGTTTGCACGACTTTCACTTTTACTGAAAAATATAATGTTTAACTCAAAATTAATCACTTTGGTGCAAAAAAATAATCGTATTAATCATTGATAGTAATTAATTAGTAATTGAAATAAGATCATTGCCACAAGAAGGAGAACCTTGTACAACTGCTTATATTTTTTTACTTTACGTTACCCTGTTCTTTTTCTCTTCTGTTTGATTTTTTGACTATTTCAATATCAACCAAACCGAGCACACTGTTTGTATATTACATACATACATACAAACGAAAACGATATATACATATCGTTTATAAACGTATATCGTTTTTTAACACCACAATCCCTATAAATTTGACACTGAACTTTCTACAACTACGTCTAACCTTCAATTTGATATTATACACACTGTATTTGGTAGAAGTCCTTTCTCTTTTTTATGTGACTAAAAGAACATATCGTTAAGATTAAAATATTGGTTTAACAACTATACTCCCAGCTTTACTAAAAGAAATACAGTTTAATTCACAGCTTTTCTAACATGGTCTATAGTTTATTCTGTATTAGATTAATACATACATACACACACACATCTAATAAACAGGATAAACAACATTTTCATTATTTAATTATGAAAAAAACGAAAATCCAAATGTAAAGAGGAGATGATAGAAAAAAAGACATATGTACGATTTGTAATGTTTTTAGAGACAATTCCAATAGTATAATTGAATAATGGCAACAGGTGAACATCAAACTATTAACATCACTCCAAAATGTTTTAGTTGTGGTTCTATTGTATATGCCGTCGAAAAGAAGAAAACAACTAATCATGTAAGTCATTGTAATGAATAAATTTTCTCTTAGCTAGTTGACTTTGCAACTAATACTTGATTTAAATAACCAGGTATATCACAATGGATGTTTTCGCTGTCGAATATGTAAACGAAATTTGACAAGTTTGAATGTCAATGAAGAAGGAGATAACATTTATTGTGAAAGTAAGAAAACGATGTTGCATCAGGACGCCACTGCTGGTGGTATCTGATCATATGTGTCAAAGTATCGAACTCTATAAAATCGTATAATGTAAAGAACAAATCTGTGTTACAGCTTAATATAAAAGGCCTTGCTAAGCCTTACCGAAATAAATTCAAGAGAAAAAGATAAATGCGACAGTAAGAATCCTTTACTAAATGAATATTCAGAAGTCCGTTTCTTTCTCATAATCATTGGCTTTGTTCTCTCTCTTTCTTCTTATTCAATAGACTGTTATCGACGAAAACTACGAGGTGATTGCCAAAGTTTTGAATTCCAAAGAGTAATCGAACGCGCACCGCCAATCGAAACTCCATCGCTCATTTCTCCAACAGTAAGATTATCACTTCATCGCAATATTCATCATCCATCGGCTACAATGCGACACTTAGAACGTCAACTACTTGGAAATAAACAACCATCTGTTGATAGTAACACTAATCATTCGCCATATCAGGTTTGTATAATATTCAATATTTCTCAATTCAAATGAAATATGATCCTTTTTCCGATGTAGGCTGAAGTTTTGACTAAGAAATCTCCCTCACCAGTAATCAATCGTCATTTATCTGACGATATACTATCGAATAAGTATCAACAAGACGTTGATTACACGAAATTGTTACGTACAAGT